CACTTCAGAGTGAAAGTCTTGGGAGCTACCAGTCTCAAACAGTCTGGTAGGTCTGGTTAAAACATTGGTGTTTTGGTTTGTTTAGAAATTTGAGTCTCTCATCCACATTTTTCTCCCATTCTATCAGAGTCCATCTATTGAGTTTAGTTTGAAGGTTAGTAGTGGTTCTGAGGGTCCACCTAGTTCTTCTGGCTGCCAGGTAGAGAAGGCTGTGGTTTGTGTAGCTATCATTCATTAGTCCTTGGGACCCCTTATTCTGAGTGTTAGGTTTCCTTCATTCTGGACAAGAGCAGTTTTAAGCAGGTCATTTCTTATGAATTTAATTGTGACCAAAAAAAAATAAGGGATGTAAATCCCCACCCCTACATCCATGGACCACCAGCCGTCTGTTAGTGTGGAGAACTGGGGTGGCTTTCCTGCTGCTGGGATGTTGGAAGCTTGGCCACTGGTACTTTGAATGTCGGCAGAGTCACCCACGGTGGACAGACTTCAGCTGAGCTTCCAGAATAAGACACACAGAAGAAGGAAAGGAAGACTACTTACAAATGTTTAGCCCCCGAAAACCTAAGACTAGCAGTGGAACACTGTCAGATAGCACCAGAATACTGAATATTGAAACCTGATGAAGAACACCATAGTATTATCAGATACAGTGCCGGAAGATGAGCCCCTCAGGTCGGAAGGCACTCAAAATACGACTGGGGAAAAGCTACCTCCTCAAAGTAGAGTTGACCTTGATGACTTGAATGGAATAAAGCCTTCTGGACCTTTGCTTCCTGATGGGTCACAACTCAAAATGAACAGGAACAGCTGTAAACATCCATTAATAACTGGAACATGGAATGTACGAAGTATGAATCTAGGAAAATTGGAAGTTGTCAGAAAAGACTCCGTATCATCAGCCAGAAGAAGACCAGGGGCAGATTGTTGGACAGACCACCAATTGCTCATATGCAAGTTCAGGCTGAAGCTAAAAAAAATTAAAACAAGTCCACAAGAACCAAAATATGACCTTGAACATATCACGCATGAATTTAGAAAACATCTCAAGAACAAATTTGATGCATTAGACACTAAAGACCGAAGACCAGAAGAGTTGTGGGATGGCATCAAGAACATCATACAGCAAGAAAGCAAAAGGTCTCTAAGAAGACAAGAAATAAGAGAAAGGCCAAAATGGATGCCAGAAGAGATTCTGTAACTTGCTCTCCAGCAAAGAGATGCTAAAGCAAATGGAAGAAATGAGGAGGTAAAAGAGCTGAACAGACAATTTCAAAGGTCAGTTCATGAAGACAGTCAAATATCATAATTGAAATAAGCAAAGACCTGGAGTTAGAAAACCAAAGGAAAGAACATGCTCAGCATTTTTCAAGCTGAAGAAAAAATGCAAGCCTCAAGTTGAAATACTGAAGGATTCTTTCATCAAAATATTAAATGATGCAAAAAGCATCAAAAGAAGATGGAAAGAATACACAGAGTCAGTGTACTAAAAAGAAACAGGTGATTTTCAACCATTTCAAAACATATGGTCAAGAGCCAATGATTCTGAAGGAAGAAGTCCGAGATTCACTGAAGGCATTGGCAAACAATAGGGTACCAAAAACTGATAGAATTCAAATTGAAATGTTTCAACCAACTGATGCAGCACTGGAGGCGCTCACTCATCTATGCCAAGAACTTTGGAAGGTAGTTACCTTGCCAACTGACTGGAAGAAATCCATTTTTATGTCCATTCCAAAAGAGGTGACCCAGCGGAAGGCAGAAATACAATATTATTAATACCACATGCGAGTAAAATTTTGCTAAAGATAATTGAAAAATGGCTGCAACAATGCATTGACAGAGAACTTCTAGAGATTCCAGTTGGTTTCAGTAGAGGACATGGAACAAGAGGTATCATTTCTGACATCAGGAGTATCTTGGCTGAAAGCAGAGAATACAAGAATAATGTACTTTACTGACTATGCAAAAGCTTCCAACTATGTAGATCATGACACACTGTGGACAGGTTTGTGGAGAATGAGTGTTCTGGAACAGTTAATTGTGTTCATGAGTAACCCACACATAGATCAATAAGCAGTAGTTCTTTCCATTAAAAAGACTTATTCTATTTAAGGGAACACCAACTGGTTTAAAATCAGAAAAGGTGTGCACCAGGGTTGTCTACTTTTACCATACTTATTCAATCTGTATCCTGAAAAAATACAGCAATAAACTGCATCATGTGAAGAAGAACTTGGCATCAGGATTGAATGAAGGCTCATTAACAACCTGCGATATGCAGATGAGACAACCTTGCTTGCTGAAAGTAAAGAGGACTTAAAACATTT